CGTTGACCACATTTGGGTACCGACTGTCCGACCAGTTCTACCACATACTGATGCGGAAGTTTGATCGCGACTCCAAGGGTGCCATCAATTTCGACGACTTCATCCAACTGTGCGTTCAGTTGCAGTCTCTGACCACCAGTTTCCGAGTGCACGACCAGGACATGGATGGCTGGATCAACATCTCCTACGAGCAGTTTCTCACACTTGTGTTCAACGTATGCATCAAATAATTACTTCACTGTTATGTCTGCCCTTCCCCTCCACTCCCGAGAGCTGTGTTTTGTGACACTTTTAGTGATTTAAATATTTTGTAAACTCAAGTATTGTCTGTTTATTACACATCCAAATGCCTGACTTCCAAATCCTGTGCCAAACATCACTTTCCAAACGATTATAACTTAAATTTTGTGTTTGTTTTGTATTTTTAAATTTGATTGTAAATGAAAATATTAACGTATTTTATATTACTTTTGATGAAATATTTTTATTATAACAAATATTTTTTTATTCAATAGATTTAATGCAATTTGTTGTGAATTGTGTGAAGAATCTGTTCACTGAATTGCATGAAAAAACGATTTAATAATTGATTAATAACTTATTGAATCATATTATGGCCTTAAAATTCACTGTCAATGCACTAACACTTATGATTTTATATATTTTAATGACTTACACAAAATTCTTGATAACTTTTTGCAGTTCATTTAATTCAACGTAACTTTTCAATGGATTCCTTTCTATTACTATTCGTTTCACATTTTAATACAAAATTTTAATTAAATTTATTATGAAACATGTGAGTAGTTTTTATTAAATCAAAATGTTGTCCACAAATGTTAAACATTATTGTTTGAACAAAAGTTAATTTTATTGTAAACTTTTTATATTAATCTATTTTTTGTAAAACATAAATCAATGAATAAAACTTATTTATTAACGTTATTTACGAATTAAGTGATTGCTGGTAAATAAATTCATAAAACCGGTAAGTGAATTGAAAATTAGTAAAAATCATATCAAAAAAAATGATTTATCCATAATTGAAAATGACACTATCATTTCATAAAATACAAGACTATAAAATATGAAATTAGATTAATTAAATTATTGTTATATTTTATCATATTCAACCGATCGTTTATCATAAATCATATTTTTTTTATGTTTTAAACATAAATTGAAACCCTGCAATCACTTACAAAACTTTGAAAACTAGAACTTTGTCTTTTTGTCTTATTAAGTACCGTATTATATATCAATCAAATATTTCTATAAATTCTCTATTGTGTAGTACAGTATTAACTACTGTAGTTTTATTAAAGTTAAAAATTTACTCAAAAGTCACAATCAATATGATTGAATTATTTATATTTCTTAAAGTTTTTAAATTAATTATTTTAAGAAATGATAGTAAGTTATACTTTTTTTACCCATTATTCAATTACTAATTCAAAATAAAACTGATAGATACTATTTAGTAAAATTATTGTTGCCATATCTCAATTTTGTATCGATTCGGCCATCATTTCGAAGAGCACATCCCGACGCCTACTCCGAGGGGTCGTCCACTTATTTGGTCTCTGGATTTATAGTCGACTCGAGAGGCTATGTACTGACCAGTCGTTCAGCGGTTTTGTATCGATTCGGCCATCATTTCGAAGAGCACATCCCGACGCCTACTCCGAGGGGTCGTCCACTTATTTGGTCTCTGGATTTATAGTCGACTCGAGAGGCTATGTACTGACCATTCGTTCAGCGGTCAGTCACTACTCTGAAGTGAGGGTCAGATTGGGAAACGGGAAGGAAGTGAAGGGAAAGGTATTGGAAATGGAAATGTTGGACTATATAGATATGGGTCTCATTAAACTGGAGGGAAACGCCAGTGATCGGCCGGTTGTTACTTTCGGTGACCCCATCCAACTGGATGTCGACCACANAATATTTGTTATAATAAAAATATTTCATCAAAAGTAATATAAAATACGTTAATATTTTCATTTACAATCAAATTTAAAAATACAAAACAAACACAAAATTTAAGTTATAATCGTTTGGAAAGTGATGTTTGGCACAGGATTTGAAAGTCAGGCATTTGGATGTGTAATAAAACAGACAATACTTGAGTTTACAAAATATTTAAATCACTAAAAGTGTCACAAAACACAGCTCTCGGGAGTGGAGGGGAAGGGCAGACATAACAGTGAAGTAATTATTTGATGCATACGTTGAACACAAGTGTGAGAAACTGCTCGTAGGAGATGTTGATCCAGCCATCCATGTCCTGGTCGTGCACTCGGAAACTGGTGGTCAGAGACTGCAACTGAACGCACAGTTGGATGAAGTCGTCGAAATTGATGGCACCCTTGGAGTCGCGATCAAACTTCCGCATCAGTATGTGGTAGAACTGGTCGGACAGTCGGTACCCAAATGTGGTCAACGCCTGTTTGAGCTCTTGCTGGTCGATACTACCGGAGTTGTCGGTGTCGAAGGACCGGAAACAGTTGAGCCAATCGTTCACATATCGCCACAATTGGGAGAACTCCTCGAAGTTAATGGTTCCCGAGTGGTCCCTATCAAACATGCCGATCATGAGCCGCACCTGTAGCCCAATCGCACCCACACGTCAAATACAACACACGTTAACATGAGTTTAAAGATTGAGAAAAAGTTTTTAGTTTTGCATTAAAACTAATTTATATGATAAATAAAAATAGCATAAAAGGGAAGGTATGCGACTGATGAGTGATGAGGACAGGCATGTAAATAGCATTAGACTATGGTGTGGTATGGTGGGGACAGGGATGACATACGGTTTCGGGATTGAATGGTTTCCACGTGCCGTTCGAGAGGGCGGACTGCAGTTCATTGGCATTGATGGCACCGGACCTGTCGGCGTCCACGCGGGTGAACACACTTCTGAGCCACTGGTGGTCAGGCATCTGGTAATAAGCCATTCAATTGCAACACTAATTAATTGTAATGCAAATTATAGTCACATGTATCGACACAACACTATACAGTTAACCACTATTTGACTGATAGTTATAATACTGTTAATAACATATGTTGTGAACGAGTTATAAATGTATTGCAAACAGAAGTAAAAGCCTATGAATGGTATGAATAGTGATGTGTTTTCACTGTACTTACGATTAGACGTCAATTCAATGGTTGTATCACAAAAGCAATGAATGACTGATTCAATGGGTGTTTGAGTAGTGAATGCAGTGTTGGTATGAAATGCACAACAATTGTAAACAATGATTGCAACACTCGGTTGACAAACACTGCAAACCTGACGTCAGCCTAACATACCGGTGCTCTGACGTCACGCATGAGTGTTGTGTACTTTGAAAACTTTGTTGAACTTTAAATTAGTTAGTTTAGTTTAGTTTAGTTTAAATGTTAGTTAGTTTTATTTGAATGAAATATGATTTGCCGGACAATAGTATATTCAGATTGAATATAAGATACAATTGAATTGAAACATAATTGTAATTAACATAGAGTTGAGCCACAAATCAGACAATGAAAACTCAATTGTTTGACAAGTTTATTAATTTTATAAATTGTGTACAAACAATATTAAGTTATATTTGTTTACAATTTATAATTAACAAATTAATAAATGTATTTATACAATCTATATTATAGATTCTATAATTAATTTGTAAACTCTTATTGTCACAAATGATTGTAAAAACTCTTAGAGTCTAAGACATTAACTAATGACAAGAGATATTACAACTAATGACAATAAATGAACACATTATTTGAATGCAAAGTTTTTATTACAATTTGTAATAAAAATTGATAATAAAAACCCGGCGCCTCCACCCCCGGGTCAGTCGGACTGCCACAGACTCCCAGCACCCCAGACCACTGGCCAGTGATCTGTCGGACTGTCTGCGCTCTCCCAACACCCCCGACCCTATAGGGCGCGCCACTCGACACCACTCCCAGACCGGCCGGACTGCCCAGACTCCCAACACCCGGATCAGTGGCCAACTGACCCGTCGGACTGTCTGGACTCCCAACACCTCCGGTCCCACTCTCGCCACCATTGCTCGGACATCACATCCGGTCAGT